TATATATATATATTTTTTTTTTTAAGTACATATTTCTGAATTAACACGAAAAGATTTAATTGATTTCCTCGTTCAGCACTTTGCCTCTTAAATATTCGCTCTTTCTCTCTCTAACGTGACGAGGCTAAAATACTAATATATCAATATCGGCAAAGCATCGATTTACTCGGATACTATCGAGATATATCCTAAGCGTCTTTACTGCGCGAATCTCGTGGAATCCGGTTAGTTCTATGATGCGCCTAGAATTGCGCGTTTGCGAGAGGATCGTGATTCTATTAATTAATAATGGTGATTAATGAAATGAATGCCGCCGACATACACCGGCAATAATATCGAACGCGCCTAGTCGCTTCAGGCGAGCGCGATTAGCTACGACTCCATGCTTCAAGCTTATATATAGCGATTATCTATTCTCTCCTATAACTCCAGGGGTTAATAAGACCGCTTCGAATTTAATTTATCGAAGTAGAATCAGAGCGCCAGCTGTCTGCGCTTTTTCAATCGATTGTCTTGTGTGATGCTCGTCGTCGTTTTTGCCCCGGTCGTCTTTCAATTATATTTGATACGAATTTTTTGTCCTTCCGAGCCGACCAATCGAGACTTAATTATGTTATACAGCGGCACGGAACGTATGAAATAATTACACCGCTGTATCTCGTAAAGTTCCTATTTCTTCTCGTCGCGAAAAACTTGTTCGCCATTTGGACGCGTACAACAAACCGTAATCCCCGAACCCTGGGTTCGCTTCAAACGATCCTCGTTTCTTCCTCCTTCGCTCGCTGGTATTCACTTTTTGCGCCATAACGAACGATTACTTCTCGCTCAACCTCCTCCTCTCGCTGCATCATCTCCTTTCTCGTCGCTTTTAATGGCCGTTTATGCGCGTAATCGGCAGATCCGCGCGCTCTTTCGATGATGATGCTCGCTCTCATTATTTGCACAGGATGCGCGTCGTCCCCCGCACACATAAATTTCCTTCATCGCTCGTTGTTCGATGCACGCGCGTGCATCGGCGAGCCGATGTTTATTCAACTGCAGCTGCGTCAGCGAGCCGCCAGACTCGGAGCTGTATCACGCTGCGTTACTCTTACGTTAAGTGTATAGTTTGACCTATACTCCGAAAACTCGAACGTTTATTCTTCATTAGGTACACCCCTATAAAATTCAACGGCAATTAACCAAACTCTTGTAGAAATTATTTGCAAAATGTAGAATGGAATATTAAAAAACGACGCAAATGCACACTACAAAAAATATGCAATTTTACATCTTTTTTATGTAATATATTTTACATATTTTTTTACGGTGCATAGAGAGAATTTTCTTTTAGAATTTAAAATAAAAATTTTAATATTTACCGCAATAAGATATAAAAATATGTTCCGATTAATAATTCACCATGTATATATATTAATATTTTTTATTGTGCTAAATATTAGTAAGAGAAACTCTTATAAAAATTCCTCCAATACCATATATTGTCTCACGATTACCACGATTTTCAGGATAAATTCTAAGAGAAAATTCTCGCCGTGTATAAGAAAAAAAAAATGAAAGCTTTATATTATGTAATACAAAAGTAACTTTGAAATAATTTGACAAAGAAAAAAGAACTGCGCGAAACGCGATGCGGATGTGAAAGATAATTGTGGATGAGTAAAAGAATGAAAGTAAAATAAACAATACGATGATGAAACGCAGTATATGAAAGAAGATTCATTTAAGATCCGCTCTTGTTTTCGATGTATTTACAACCAAATCGACGAGGAGAACACAGGGTGGGAGGACGATTTATATCCGATGGCGTGTTCGCTTCTCGTGGAAGCTCGCAGGAGAGGTTCCCGCTTACGTCATCCGATCTTTGGGTCCCGACTCGGGAGAGAGAGAGAGAGAGAGAGAGAGGGTGCCCTCCAAAGACCTATTACCTTATTTACGATTCGCACGGCCATTATCTCCTGGCAACAAAGTGAACCAGCCGGTTTTTCGATACTATCCGCGCGCGCGTGTATGTATACTCGCCGGTGTGAAAGAAAAAGGGGGAAACCCCTTTCGGACAAGAGACGAGCACAAAAGACACGAACAACACCGTCGTGGAGCAGTTTTGCGGTCGTGGCCACGCTGTCGGGAATATTGGAGGAGGACTTTTGTCTCTTCGCTCCTTAATAACACGCGCGTCCTAACATGGAAGACACGTGGTGGTGACCCTGGCTGAGGTAGAAGCGCCTTACACCGATGTTATCGGGGATATCGATATACGTTCCATTATATCCCCGGGATTTTATTAGTATTAGTATCGAAGTTATATAATTCGTCATTTTTATTTACGAGCAACGGGGATATTTCATTATGTTATAGTAGCAGAGTCAATTGACTCATTTAAGTACGCGTAGGAAGATTCGTAACATTTTACGCTATTTCGAAAGCTATTTGCATTTTTCCAACATTGTAATGACGTAATAGGAACAATTGCACATATCGGTTTTAAGTACTATTAAGGAGTAATGAGAACTATCTCTGATTTTAAAGCACGCTATTTAAATTTCCAAGTATTTATAAACCGACATTTACATCAGATGCGGATTACTGTAGGACGGTAATCGATCCACTTTATTATTTTCAAATCTCTTTATGCGATATATTTGGTTTTTATGGTCTGCATCGTATATAGGCATATATATACTAAAAATGAAGACGGGTAATTTTAAACTCGAATAAATTAAATGCGAATTGAATCTCTTAATGTGAAACACATTTAAATTTTATCTAGTTATATAATAATTAAGAGACACACGGATGGTAGTACATCAATTTCGAAAAAAATTAATTGAAATTAATTAGTTGCGCGAGTCATAAATGTTTCTTGATGCGCGCGGTATCGAGTAATTAAATAAATTTTAATTCGATATTCTTTTAAACAAGTCTCCTCGATCCCGCTAAAGAAACATAGGCGAGAAATAATAAAGACATAGTATATATATGATAATAAATATCGCAACGATAAATGAAATATTCAATAATTTACAATGAACAGAATAATTCAAATGAACGCGTACGATGTTCTTTTTTTTTCATTTTATAAAAATTCACCGCGTTTTTATATTTCGAAAAAAAAAAAAAAAAAGGTTATTCGAGACAAGTTTAATGGACCGGCCGTTTTTATCGAAAACTTTTTGGAGTTGCAGCCAATTTCGCGATCTAAACATCGCGATGGGAAATATTTGCGCGGGAATGAGTGTTGGTGTCTGGTCAAATCGCAGAGGTATAGTACGTTAATTTTAACCGATGAATCGCCGTGTGCTCTCGTTGCCGCGATGGGGGTAGAGAGCGCGGGGGTAAAAAGGGGGGTAGAGTTTTCGATGAAAACGAATTTGTCGCTGGCCGCGATGCGACACGATGCGCCGCGCCGCGGCGCAACAACCTGTTCGATGACTTTTCCGTTTGATGATTGCAACAAGTGAGGCCCACCGCCGCCGCCACCGTGCTCTCTCCCAAACCATTTTACCACCGACAGCCACTCCCCGTTTCGCATTCAACAAGTGGCCAAATCATTCAGCGCGGGGTCGCGGAGACCGTCGAAAAAAATCGGAATTTTCGAGCGCGACGTGATTTGGCCGGTCATCGATCGATTCATCAAAAACGAGATAAAAATTCTTTGCGGCGCGTCATCCATGAATGAGAGAGAGAGAGAGAGAGAGGGCGAAGCTCGGTATTCCAAAGCGGGATCATTAACGTTGCCAGCGAAATTGCAATCCTTTTTTTTCCCTCTATATAGAGTTTACCTTTACCGCGGCTAATTTCTGCGTTCGAAAATCTACACAAGCACGAATCGTTGTAATGACAGTATTCAGCGATTCGCTTTTAAGAGACGCGCGTCCTTTTCGAAATTCGATTGACGCCCTTTCACCGCAACGTAATCATTACTGTCATCGGAAAGCGCCGATCCTTTCCACCGTAATTTCAGTCGGCACGCCGAGTCGCTTTTGGTGTACGTGTATATATATCTATATACATATATATGTGTGTGTACATAGGTTTCCTCTCTGAGAAGAGAGGAATCTGTGTGGTAGTGGACTCGAACAAATCTCGTGGTATCTGGGTGGAATGGGTCTCATTAAGGACGCCTTCACAGTCCTTCATCCTTGGCTCTTCAGGCCCGCTCCTTTGCCTCTGCCCTCTCTTCATTCGCCTCTCTCTATCTCTCTCTTTCGCCCCCGCGCTCGAAGAGACGTTCGTCTTTTATACCTGATGGTCTTCTGGCCCCCTGCTCGCATTTCTGGGCTCGGTCTTCTGCGTTTGCGTGCGCCTTACGTGCCCGAAGGCCATTCGACGCTATGCCGGTTCCTCGTCATTTTCGACTTTAAGCACCTCGCAGCTTAAATGTGTTTCCGAAGGCGAAACGAGAAACTCTCGCACGCCAACAATCCACCGCAGATATTTCTAACCATTAGCCGTTGAATGCCGTGGCCATTGAATTGAAAATTCGCTTCGCGGAAGGGAGCATTTCGAGAAACAAGATTTGTAAAAATTTTCAGAATACTATCAAAAGAGAGAGGAAACTGCGTTACATTAGGACTGTTATATCAAGACCTCACGCTATTAACATACTTGGGAATTATGCAAAACGCTACACAAGCTAAGATGATTACTATACTTTTCCGTTGCGTGCGTATACGAATGCGCGATAATGAATCCTTCTGTATATACAAGCGCGGAATGAGCATTGTCGTTCTATTTATTCGCATTAATGGCGAGAGATACGCACGTGGACGAGAGAGAGAGAGAGATAGAGAGTGGCTTTTGCCCTGGAGTTAGCAAGATTAAATACAATGCCACAAAGTGACGGCCAGGCTGCTTGTTGGCGGATGCGGCTTATTCGTCGCGAGTGCGTACACGGTTTTAACGCCCACGTGTGCATGTGCATAATATCCCCATCATTGTGTGTGTGTGTATACATAGCTAATCGAATCCGTTCGTTTCCTCTCCCCTTTTTCTTGCAGGGTGGCGGCGGTAGCGGCGGGGCTGCTGGCGGACTGAAATTCACGGTGGCGGACACTTGCGAGAGGATCAAAGAGGAATTCAATTTCATCCAGCAGCAGTACCATTCGTGAGTATCTTTGTCTCTTTTCTCCTTACGCCATTCCGGGGGCGAATGTTCCGCGCGTTTTTATTTTCTTTTCTTTGATTCTCCCCGTTTTTTTGCTCCTTTTTTATTTGCTCCATTGTGTTTCTACGAGGCTTCTTGCGATTACTATCGAGACGACGATTCTCTTCGCGTTCACATTTTTCCCCGTTCTTCCAATCGCGGCGAATTTTTTTTTTCTTTTTTTATACGATACCGCGATTATCGATAGATAGATTCGCGTGAATCGATCGACGTATTTGCTCTTTATTCTCTTATCTTTTGTCTTCCTCTTTCGAGCGCGAGATTTCGTTACGCGCTTTGTTTATAATCGCATGCATTTTATTCCTCTTCTCAACAATGTACCACAAATTTCACAGTAATATTTTGCCGAACCGATTCTATTCGTTTGGCTTTTGATTTTTCAGATTGAAGCTCGAGTGCGAGAAGCTGGCCAGCGAGAAGACCGAGATGCAGAGGCACTACGTTATGGTAAGGCACTTTGTAAGTTTCTTTTTGTGTCTTTCCTCTCTACGAGATCGAGTCGTCTCCTTTTTTCGCGAATCGAGACCGCGGTCCAAACAATTTAGTTCTCCACCGCGGATATTCGTATATGCTTTTCGGCGTTTGACAATTTTCGAACTCGATAACAGAAGTAAAGATTCAACGCGAAATATTGTAAGAACCCGATATATTGAAGATAAACGAAGGGAGAGTACCTCACTTTTCTCGCGAATTATTTAATCCGACTTGTTTCTCTGCAAAATGCAGGAGATTCATTAAAAATAAAAACGAAATTCGATTATCGGCTTCGCGTGCGCTCCGCGAGGAAAAGCTTCGAGGAGCTTTTCTCTCTCTTTCTCCAGACTTGTATTTGTATTGACACGCGAGAATGTACGCCAAGCAGTACAGAGTATTTATCGATAATGCATATACGTATATATGTGAGGGAGAATATATAAACAGGATATTACGTAAACGGGGGAATTTTGCGGGCGCAAATTAATGCGAGCCATTTTCTTCGGTTAAGGAAAAACGATCGATATTATTCTCGTTTCATATTGCCGGCTTCTCTTCGATTTAGTTCCATCAGCGCAAAGGCAATTAGTCCGGGCAACCGTACTAATCGTATCGTCATCGGTAAGAAGCTTAACTTGGACTTACCTATATTAAAGTGCAGTACTAACATGGTGCAAAGTATTCGCCGCGAGTATCCGTTTCGCGTTGGTTGCCTTCTTCTTCTTCCTTCCGAGACGAGTCTTGGATGTTATTATTATCATTACTACGATAGATTTTCTCTCCCTTTACGAGGATATAAAATTATGTAACTTGCGGAGAGGAGATGTCTAAAGTTTAGAGTCTCTCATTGAGACAGTTTGTTCAGAAATTATGACAGTACGCTTCTACTTTTTTTTTTTTTTTTAATTGATATCTGAGAGAGAGAGATATTTTATCTTTGACTTAATTTCCCGTCTCTCTATACATTCATTATTTAATATTTCGAATAAAAGTAATCATTTTATACCAGATCATATTGCGATGTTACACTGAGAAATTTTTGGTTCCTTTGAAATACCGATCTACTACCAGTCACGGTGTGTCGATCCCGAAAATTGAATGCTCTGAATAAAGAAAGTATCAGCTCGTCCGTTTTATCGCGAGTAAATGTTAAAAGAAAAAAAAGAAAAATGCGCATTAAATTGGAATGAAATGTTCTCTTGGAATTCTTCGTGCCGTAAATGAAATTGTAAAATCAACTTTAACATGTAACCTTCCTTTTAAACGCATTGCCGTAAAAATATCTCCATCGTGTAGACGTCATTTGAGAAGTTACGTATAGAAATTTCCGAGTATTCCCGTGTACGACATCGCAAATCAAGCTCGCACGAGAGAGACGCTCTCACTGGCTCGACTGAAAAATGGAAGTAAAAATCAAGGAGAGCCTCGCTTTTGTCCCGATACAAATTCAGCCGCTGTGCACGAGAATGCGCTCTTACGGGCGGTTATGCGTTTCCGCAAACCGCTTTTCGAGATATCCGAAAGCGAACGCCGCGGATTGGAGGGTCAATAACCCCGTTATGCTCGATAGACGCAAATTTCAGCGGAGCTAAAGGCAAATGCTTATTCGGCTGCTTTGTAAAATTCTCTAGGTTCGATTGTAAAAATAAAAAAAATATCATTTTTTGCGGAAAGCTTGCTCGTCGAAATCACGATATTTCAAATGAGCAGTGCTTTGCTCATTTTTAGACTCTGCTTACTTTAATTTTTCTTAGTTATCGTCGTATTCATTTAACAAAGCGTATCTAATTATTGATTTAATCCTGAATCGATCTTGAAATCTCTCAACTACAAACGTTTCCTAGAATGTTTGAAATTGTCTGATTCTCGTTAATTCATGAAGCAAGTTCGAATATTTTAATATAACAGATAGAGCCCGGATTTGCGCGCTTAATACATTCCCCAGAAATGCAAATTCAAATTCGCGCTCGGACCGGTTATATTTTGCATAGGAAAATTGCGCTCGTTTTACTCTTCTGTTTACGTCGTTAAAAAAACGCGGGTTAAGAACCACTGCGGAAAATCGAGAGCATGTAAGATTCTTGCGGATTGATGTCGTCGTCGTAACATCCGCATCTTTGAATTTCGAGGTCCTACACCACTGCCTTCTGTACGTTCGATCGTAATTGTCGCGAACTATACTGTCTCTGTAAACTGCTACACCGATGTGACACCGTGCAAGCAACCAAGCAGCAAGCTGGGCCGAGTGGAAGGGAGTCGGGGGTGCCAGAGGGAATGGATAAGGGGGGTCGGAGGTGACAGAGGGGTTGATGGGGGTTGGGAGTTGAGCCGGTAATCGATATCTCCAAAGTAAACGAAGAGAGAGATAGAGAAGGGGGGTAGCAGCAGGAGGTGGAGGAGTAGTTGGGAGAAGAGGGGAAGAGAGAGGCAAGATTCGTCGAGGGAAAAGGGAAAGGGAGAAAGAGATAGAGCGAGAGAGAGAGAGAGAGAGAATTACAGAGACAGAGAGAGAAATTGATGTCGAGGGTTTGTCAACCACCGACAAGTATTATATACGTGCAAGCCCTGAGAGGGCGCGCGGACGAAGGCGAGGGTTGTTGGTGTGCGCGTCACACACAGTACATACACCACGCTCTATGCCAGCCGTATCTCTGATATTCTAATTCCACCCTCGTGTATTCCGAGCGTCTCCTACCACCTCTTCTCGCCGTCGCCACCACCGCCGCCACGCGCGCGCAACTTCATCCTTCGCGATTTTCATTAGGGTAACGCGCCGCGTAAATCCGCGCGCCGCTTCAATTTTTGCCCCCACCCGATTTCGCTCTCTCTCTTTCTCGCCTCACTCTTTTGTCCGCTTCGTCTTACGGATCATCGCCTTTCTACGTCGTTACGGGGAATATCTTTCCCTTCGCTCTTGTTGAGACAAGACCGCCAACCATGTCGCGCGCTCTCCAAGAATTTGATTGATATACTTATACTTGATTTATTTCGAGATGATTAATGCTGTCTGGATTATGTCCATACAGAGGTTTTATTGGACTTGTAAATGTTAACTTAATTACATGTATTTTTGAGAATGCAAAGTTTGGGACTGTCAAAATTCTATTTTTTTTTTTATTAAAACCTGAGAAACGGAGAATATCTTCTCTCTTGTCGAGATATCGCTAACAATGTCGCGCTCTCCAAAAACTAATGCATTCTGGATTATATCCATATATAGATTTCACTGTAGTTATAAATGTAAACTAAATTATGTACACGGGGAAAAAAATTAGCTAAATTTTAGCTGTCCATATGTTACACATGAAATTTAGTTATCGTGCTTAAATTTTAGCTGTGACAATTAATATAACATTCTCCGTTAAGCTATGGCTAAAAAATATTAGTTACCATAGCTAAAATTTAGCTAATTCTTTTTTTCCGCGTACATTTGCAAAAAATATAATGCTTGTAAATTACGTGACTTTGAGAATGCATGAAGTTTGGGGCTATATAAAAATTCTATCTTTTATTAAAGGATGTTTTTATCTTCTCTCTCATCTCTCCGCTCGCCATTTGTTCTTCCTTTATTTATGGTTCATATTTTTGCTCTGCGTTTTTGGAAGGTATATTTTTTCCCATAATATTTTGTATTTCCATCAAATACAGAACAGAAAGAACGATATAATTAAAGTCAACTTTTTATCCCGAATAATTTTCCCGAATAAATCATTGTATCTTATATTGAGATATATTTATCGCTCTGATTTATGCAAACTCTTTTATACGTGGCATTGAAAAACGAGGAAAATTTTCCTAAAAAGTCTCGCGATACCATAAATCAATTCAAAAATAAATGATCCGTCCATGCGTATCTGATTTGCGCATCAAACGATAATGCACAAAGTTGCATTCCTCGCAATCGCAAACTGCCTCCGTCGCAGGAGTTTCATATTTTTTTCGCGACGACGTATCCGTCGGTGAATTAATTCTCTAAGGCTTGAACGAAGTGGCCGTCGAGTCTTAATTGTCTCTTGCAACATTGCCTGGAGGAGACGAGACTTCTATAGTACCGTATTACGATATTGTCGAAAACAGGCAGACGGAACAAGCGAAAAAATTCCGAATCCCCGGGCCGCCCGAAAATTGATTTAATTTTCAATACGCGAATGTAATGATCGAGAGAGAGAGAGAGGGAGGAATTCGATGCTATGGAGATAAAAAAAGGGGGATGGAACGAAAAAAACCTTATCGAAAACAGGCCCGGGGTGGTTGCGCATCTCCGGCCTGGCCGCGCGAACGAGAAGACTTTCCAATTATCTATGTTTTTTCTCCGCCGCGTTTTTTCGCGCTGCAACAAATTAAACGTAACCCACATCCCTGGGGCACGCTTCTCGATTACTCTTTGTTTTCCTCCTGTTTCCACGGTTCGCCGTTTGCTTTCCACCCCGCGCGAGCGTGTATGCGCGCGCGGGTATGCCTGGCAGATTGCATTTCTATCCTGCGCTCTATACGTTGTCCTCTTCTCTCTCGAAAAAAAAAAAAAAAAAATTTTTTTTCATCAACACTCGCGAAATTTCGCGTCGTGACGCTTGGACCGTAACGGATATTCGGCTGGCGATGCCGGGATATTGTTCCTTTATGCACGCAGAAAATATCTTTACAGAGCTCTCGGATTCTGGCTAAACTGTTATTTATGAATTTCTTTGTCATACACATTTTAAATCATTGTTATTTCATAGATTAACACTTGACCCCGAACAAGCGTTGTTTTATATGTATATAAATAGTTTGAAGATTTATCTATTTAGATTAAATTTTAATGTACTTCACTTATCATTGGAATTTGATCTTGTTTCTTGGTAGCTTCTTCTTTAAAAAATTATAGAAAGCCGATGGAGAAAAATTCCGCGGTGCGATTCGCGGATGCACCGGTTCGCACTCGGCGTGATTCGCTCCGGCTTATTAATTATCCGTTAATTATCCGTGGGCGCGACGTGTAAATTTCCGCGAGGCGAGTCAAGAGAGCGAATGCGAGCGAAAAAGGAAAATGGGGATGGAAAGGGAGATGAGAGAGAATGGCAGGTTGAAGTACGGTGCAACCAGAAAGAAGGGTCCAGAAAGGGAAAAAGAGAGAAAGAGAGAGAGAGGGAAAAGAAGAGAGGCAAAACGAGGGAAAATGTCGAGAGAGCGACGAACGAGGTCGTCCAATCATCCTATCAAAGGCTCGCTACTAAAAGATCCATATCGAGTAATCGGAGGGGGCGAAATTATCCGTACAACTCCTATTATTGGGTTCCAAGGCACGTGAAAATAGAAAATGAGAGGCGGGCAGATGAGATCGATATCCGCGGAACTTCTGCCGTCGTCGAGAGAGAGTTTTCTCGTTATTTGATTACTGACTTACGCCGATATCTTTCCTTCGGCCATTTAAATCAGACTTTACAGCGCGTGCAAAGGCGACGAGAATAAATGGTGACAAATTACTGTGTGTATGTGTGGGTTTACTTTAATCGTTTTGCTTCAATCAATTCGAGGAAATTCTATTAATGTAATCTTCGTTTTATTGTTCCGTTGAATACAATAAAATAAAATCGAATAATATTTAAAATATCTACTGTATTATAACATGTTCATTATACAATTTTTAAAATTTTTTAATACAATACATTTATTACATAATTTTTTATCTTCTAATTCTATATAATCTAATTTTTCCTTCGTAAAAAGAAACGCGGTATAAATCCAAAAATCCAATATATGATAATGCGTGCTTAGATAAATTGCTCGTTACTTAGCGTGGCAGTGATCGCGCGTGCTTTTTCGAGGGCGGTGAGAGCCCTTCGAGGAAACGAATTATCGAGTCACCACCGTTTGTTGCGCGATAGGGTCGCCAAGTTAAACCGACATGCACACAGGCGTAGACCCGAGGCGTGTGCCCGGGATCGTTTCGCAAGAAGGACGAAAGGAAGGCTTCGCGCCAAGTTCACCGGCGTAGTTATCGACATGCATTATTAAGTCGGTATATTTCCGCGGCCGATGCTATCGATCTCGACTGGGCCCGACCTGACATGTGTGTCTCCTCTCTCTCTCTCTTTTTCACGGGCAAACCGCCTACCCTCGCGAAGCCATTCGTCTCCGCACACGAGGGAGAGACTAAAGGCGGACGCGCGCGCGACGCTAAGCGACTGCCGCTAACCAATTTATGATCGCGCAAGCGCATCCATCGGACTGCATCGTGCGCTCGGATGCAGTTTATCGAGACGTATGCACTCGCCGGATCGAACGTCCGCGCTATTGCGAGCCCTCCCGCTTTCCACCCCCGTCCGCAGAAATTCGTCCACGAGAATGCCGACAGTGCGAGAAGATCGGCCGATTCATCGATCGCTCATCCCCGCGATTCGATACGTCTCGGGAATTTCGCACTTCGGTGCGCGAACTATGTATTTTAAGTTTCGCGAAAAAAAATGGCATTTCTCGCCGAGCGTATATTCTTTTCTTATTGGGACACAAAATTGTATCTTTCGGGAAATTTTACTATTTATATCCGGATTTTTCACATTATTCTACATTTGTCTCGATAATGTGAATTTTTTATTAAAGAAAATATAAATTTTTCTATAACTCCTGGTACGCTAATTTTTCTGTATTGTTAAAAATCGATTCATCGTGTGTTCGTTAATTTATATAATTTTCATCGTCGTGTTATATCGGTATAAATTATATATTTGGAAAAATAATACTAAAAAGTCGAGGAAAAAATTAATTTCTGCTCTTGGAAAATTTGAAAAAGGAAGATGCCGCGCGAATATATGAATTAGGTTGTTAATCCTTTTTAATTTTGAGATAGCGACTCTTTGCGGAGTTTACTTCGCGAGTGATATATTTCGAGAGAGAGAGAACGTTTGATATACTCAGCTGTAGCTAACCAATTTATGATCGCATGCGTTCGAATCGTCAACCCAGTTCGAATGTAAAAGATTCTTATGGTTATGCAGTCGGGAACGCAATAATCCTGACGCATCCCCCTCGAATTTATTATCACATGTACCACTTAATATTTTAATCAGTATAATACAATTAGAATAATCTCCGTACTAGATTGATAAAAAGATACAATTAGAATATCATATAAACTGAAAAATGTGTCCTCTTTTCTGTTACAGTACTACGAAATGTCCTACGGCCTCAACGTCGAAATGCACAAGCAAGTAAGTTCATTATTTTATTATACTTGTAATAATTTGGTCAGTATAGAAGATTAATTTAATCATAAATTGAATAATTATAATTATGAATACTATTAGAGAATTGTGCTTCTGAAAAATTGCTTAAATATAATCGTAAGAACGAACGCGTAATTTTTAAGCGGTTTCGCGGAAAGTTAATCAGATGATATTCAACGATCTTAAGAATATTCGAACGATCCCTTATTAATTGAGCCGAGGGGAGTATATATATATATAATAGTATGTCGGTGAATCGTCTCCGGAATCGGCCGCAAATGAGGTGTCCGGAGACGGCGGACGCGCTTAGGACGGGAAATCGTGTAATTTCGGCTAATCAGGGGAAACAGCGGCGAGGCGGTCCCCTCTGTCAGCAATTTTCTTAAAAGCGACCACGCGGGTAGTCCCTCGTCCATGCTCAAAAGTGGGGCTCCCGGCGACTGCAAACAACCCTCCTCCTATCGTCCCGGTACAACGAGCTGATATTCATTAGCATTAGCGGCCGATCATTTCTCACCCTCGTACCCTGAGGCGGCGCTTAATGGGCCGAGGTGGGAGAAGGGAAAAGAGGGGGAGGGGAGGGAGAAGTACCTTCTCTCGGGTAGTTATAGGGCGTAGCACGGCACCGAGATCACCGCGGAATTGTTTCCGGCGAATAATGCACGAGAAATCAGGGCGTCCCTCAAAAAGCGCCGCTATTTTAATCGCAGATTTCGCGACGCGAAACTTTTTAAAACGAGACGCCATTTTAAAATTGGAACGAGGTTAATGTACTTTCTTTATTAGTAACGGAAATTGTGCTAACGCATCCACTTGTCGGTTGAAATTCAGCTGCTTAAGAGTTTAACTTGATTAAATCGCTTATTCTGGAAAACGATAATATAGACGTCGTATAAATAAAATAAATCTCTTCTTTTAGGATCGCGCAAATTTTTCCAAGTTTGCAAAAATTCCGAGTATTAAGATATCCAGAAATATAGTTTTCGATACGTGTCACTTTTTTCAAATCAATGATTTTTCAGACATCTTTCGTCTTGACGAGTGCGATGATAAAAGTTGCTAGAGATTCGCGCTTTCGTAATTTATCAATTTATCTGATAACAATATTCATAAAAATGAGAAAAGTATGATTATTCGTTCGGAAAATCAGGGAATCGGGACACCACGAGTTCACAAATTGTAGTAGAGATAAGGTAACGCGGATTCGCCTCTTTGACGCTAATTGGAAGAGAAATGAAAAGTTATCGGTTCTTCGCTACTCTCTAATTAACCGTGATAATAATCGCCCCAGCGCCACGCGCTCTTTGCCAACTTATTTACATTAATTGCCATTTTCCAGGTGTGTATTAAGACAATGATCGTACGAAATCAGATATGTGTGATATATATATATATACATATTATTTTGAAACAATTTAATACTTGATATATTTCTGAGAGAAACTTTCCGATAAAAATAATGATGCATATATTTTTAAATTATAAATAGAAATTTTATAAAGTTACAATATTAGAAAATTTCCTATTAATGTATCTAACGCAAAGTTTATTAAATTGCATAATTATATGATTGCGATCTGCGTGTGTGTTTCAGTATGCGTAATCGGAGAACTTTGTCGTGCCACAAGTAGCGGTTTAAATTTTTTAACATGTAATTACAAGATTGTATTTTATTCTCGCTGATCTTTTCGTCCCCTTCATTCAGCGTCAGCTATTTAATGGGCACCCGAAAAATATATTTATTACTTTCGTCCAGAGAGATACCGACGCTTCAGTCTCGAAACCTCCCCTCATTCGGCAAAAAAGAAAAAAAAGAATAAATAAATCAAGCTCTCTTTAGTCGATCCCCGCCACTTAGCAGGCTTTCGAATCGCGGTTTTCTCGCTCCTTTTCAATTTGAACCCTCGAATGAAAACAATCTTCCTTCCCCTACGAGGTTAGAACCTTCTGTATCTCTATCTCGTCTCTTTCTCCTGTTTCGCCACCCCTTTCGTTTTTACCCTTTTCATTCTCCCTCGCCCCCGTCTCTCCCTCTCTCTCTCTCTCATCCCCCTTGATTTCTCATCGGCGTCCCGCCGTTGTGTTCTTGCGAACCCTCCCGCTCTTCTCGTTTCCCAGAGCGCTCGGATCTGCGCGACCCTCGTATCTCCTGCCGTAGCTCGAAGTCGACATTTGCCTCTCATTCCACCCTACCGCAGCCACCACTTTACCACTCTCTACTCGACTAACTCGAATTTGTTGGCAATGTCCCAGTTCTTGTAGGTACGATTACTTCTCTCGCTCCATCCGTCTCTCACCCTCAACGGGAGTCTTGAATTTTCTCCCTCGGTCACCCTCGTTCGCGAACATTGGCTCGCTTGTTCGATTTAATTGCACGATATAGACCGATTGCTCGCTGGGATTTTCGATCCTTTTTTGACGTGATACGCGACAAAGAAATGGATTTCTGGGATCAACATTTCTTTAACATCAATATTGTTATACGTATTTTTTTTTTTTTTTTTTTTTTTTCGATCGGCCGAAAGTTAGGAAGGCTCGTCAAAATTTTATCACTTTTAATCCTCGGTTTAATGCGAGGATATCGCTCGATAATATCGGTGATAAAATCTTTTTATCAATCCTCTCTATTGGATTCTCGAATCCGTCGGATTCCATCGTGCGATCTTCACGGGAAATGAGATTTGCAGCGATGGAGAAAAATGGACGGCTTGCAAAAAACGTCCGCGATTACGCAAAAGAAAAGCGCGGAAGAGAAAGAGCGGGATAAACCGTTCGCGGAATCCGAGGGGTAGCGCGAGGGCGGGAACGAAATGGAGGAGGGAGCTAAAAACACATCGCGTCCCGCGCGTTACGTTTTCGCCCTATTCATCCATCGAATCGTACGTATACGTAACGTACATTCGGCCGCCGGCGTATCTGTCCGATAGCGCTTATCGCTTAATTGAAAGGGTCGTCCTTCGGCCGCCGCCTGCTCGTCGTTGTCCCGCTCGATTAAGCCCGCGATCCGCGGCAATATGTCGCGGGATACATTACGCGATCGCGAAACCGCATTCCCATGTGCGAATCTCAAAAAGGCTCAGTACTGGTGCCAGAGTCGCCAGTATTGGCTGACGTTCTGGGCCAGTATAAGTTGAGATCGGGGTCGTTACTGGGACAACATTCATTATCAGTATTGGGCCAAATCTAACATTAGAATAACCGATATGTTTAAAATCATTATAAATTAATGTTTCAAAATAAAAATATTTGTTGTCACACACCAACGTATGGCCCAATGTATCCCCAGTGCTGATCCAATATATACGATTTTATCCAACGTAACTTTTATCATCTCGGTACTATTTCACGTCTCGCTCCCAGTACTGATGCGATATTTGGCTCGGTATAGAACATATTTTGTGTCAGTACGGTACACAAACGTTGGCCCAATTTTCTTCCAGTATACTTGAACCGGTACTCGTGCTGCAGACAAAGTTGCTTGCTTCCCAGTAATCCGACACGAGTCGACTCAATACGTGACCAGTACCGAGACGATTCTCGGTCATCGATCAATACCATTTTTGGCCTTATACACGATCAGTACTTAGACGAGACTCGGCAGAATATGATTGCATGGGAGTATTGGTACAGTATACCAATTACCGAGACTGGTACAGTATTGATCTGGTGATTTATCCGTACTGGGGCAGTACCACCTATCAAGTCTTGGCAGCCAATATTGTGCCACTTCTGGGCCGACATTCGCATATGGGTTATTATATATCGATCACAAATCTTTGGAAAGTCGCGAACAAATTAGATCGGAGGAGCCGGTATCGCGCGACGTTATGTCTCATTGTTATGTCAAATAACGTATCCGTCAAATCGTGTTTGACGAAGGTAGGATGATGAGGATAAATTAAGGAAGAGAAAAGAGGAATTTTTACTTTTGGTTTATATGTAATTTTTTAAATCCTCGAACGAATCTTCTGTAAGAGAGAAGAGAAAATCTCAAGTTTAGAGATTGCTGGCGCATCATCCCTTGACGCGAGGATCCGCCGGGCTGAAATTTCGGAGTCGACTACGGCATTCTAGCGAAAAAGCGCGTATTCTCTTTGAAAGAATATTGCCGCGGCGCGTTGTTGCTGGCGTTGTTCGTCGATACGAGAGTAACTACCATTTCCCATCGCGGGTACGCCCGGCGCCCGATAAAAAATGTGCAGGCTGACCAATTGCATATAACTCACCCTGCCTTTCCAGTTCTTCCTGCCTTCATGCATATATACGTCTATCTATCCGGGCGTTCTGTCTTCTACCCTCTTTCTCCCTGGTCCTCTCTCCCTTTTTTTTTTTTTTTTTTTTTTTTGTCATTCTCCCACTCTTTTTCTCTTTCGATACGCGAGACCCCTCTCTCTCTCTCTCTCCCACGTGCTCTCTTTCGGCGGTCGGGGGTCGCTTTTCCAACGCTCTCTCGTCCGTACACACGTGTCGGCGTGCGAGCGAGACCGAGAGAAGCCGCGTGTACACACTCGCACTCTTGCTCGCTTGCGCTTGCTCGCACGGACACCTATGCCGCGCGCGCATACACCCTCCTAGGGGTCGTGTATTCGAGTTCTTTTATTTTGCCCCGTGGAGGTAGCAGAGGGTTGAGTCGGACGAGAGAGCAGCACAGAGAGCGCGAGGGCTGGGGGCGATGACATCGATTTTTTACCCGTTGCTAATCTCAATGTTACCTCCTACCTCCACATCCACCACTTCCTCCTCCTTCTCCACCTCTCGTTCGGTCATCTCTATACCCCTTCTCGTCCTCCTCTACCCCTCGTCAACTCACTTCGTTCTCCCGCCTGCCGGTCCCCCGGCCATCCGTTTTGCGGGAAAACGTGCATGTGCATCGGGCACATTCGAGAAGGAATAACCATTTTTTCGTGCCGGACAACACTCGCTCCGCGTCGCCCCGCGTCCTGCAAATTCTCCTCGTCTCCCGACCGCCGCCTCCAACCATCTCTCCCCCTTCACCATCCCCGACACCACCGCGCGGCCCCTCTCTCTCTCTCACCCCTCGCATCCTCTCTTCATTTTTCGTCGAACCTTTTTTCGTCGCCCGCCCTTCTTCTACACCCACTCACCTACCTATCCGTCCCGACTCCCTCCCACACTCACCCCCTTTGCCACCTACTGTCGAACAGGGCGAAATCGAACTGACGTGGACGCGGCAGTTTTCCATCTTTCTGTTCCCCGTGGGAACGATGACATTTTTTTTCGGTCTCTCAACTTTTAGATCTACGCGCCCGATTCGCCTGACGTGGAAAAATATCGCGCGCCGGGGTGAGATATCTCGGCGCGAAAAAACCAATACTAAATAATTATATATGCGCGCTCACTCACTAATTTACCCTCGTCGTTGTCGTATAGGGGGAGATTGCGTAAAATATAATTCTCGGTCGATTAAATATAACGCTCTCCTGCGAGAGAGAGAGAGAACTTTTCCGATTATAAAACGCTTATTATTAAAAAAGAAAGATATATATTTTTATTCGTGGGGATTGATTGTATAGTTTAGCGGACAATGGCGTACAAAATATACCTTTTATGCTACACGGTTATTTGAACATTACCGGTATGTCGATCGTGAGCTTAATCACCAATCGATTCGATCGGCGCGCATTAATGAGTAGCCACCTCGTTATATGCGAGAGTGGGTTGATTCGCGTTCGCTTATACGTTCGTCGTTCTGCGACATGTGATTACACCACGACGTTAACCCCGAACATCGCGTGTCCTACGCGTTATGTACACACGACTCGGATTGCTCTTCAGCACCCTTGTATATCGCCCTCGATTTTTCAATTAATCCCACGAATTATTCAAAGCGAAACCTATTATGCCTACGTGAGATTTATAATAGTTTTGATAGAAATTTTTCATGTTATTACTTGCGCAATTTTACGAATGGATCGGGCATTCTGGATTTGACAGATCGCTGGAATAATCTTAAAAAATATATACAGGGTGCGTCTCGTTTATGGGGGACGATTTTTCCTCTACGAAAATGTCGAGGAAGGTATCATAATTTTGTTAATGTTTCCAATTTTTGAAATCATGTAACTAATTGTAAGCCTTAAATTAAAATTCTATTAAAGTAAACTTGACCTGAAATATTAACTGAAACATGTAGTAGTGTGGTAAGTCTGGGACACCCTGTATATAAAAAGTTGCTTGAATAATTAACTGTCAGAGAACGCAAAATTAACGTTTATCCGAATATTCGTCGTGTGTTTGCAGACGGAAATCGCAAAGAGGCTGAACGCGATAATCGCGCAAGTGCTTCCGTTCCTGGCGCAAGAGGTGAGTTTTTGACTTTCTGTCTGGCACGCGTGCCGTGCGATCTCACAATCGAGTGTGACGACGACGCGATAATGATAGCATGGCATTGCAGCATCAGCAGCAGGTGGCCAACGCTGTGGAGAGGGCGAAGCAAGTCACCATGTCTGAACTGAACGCCATTATCGGGGTAAGTAGCCCCGCTAAGCTTTTTGCTATTAAACTTCATCGTCATTGATTTTAACGAGAACGAGATCGTAAAAGCGTGTTTCACAAAAATTTACTTATATAAATGAATAAATTGTGTGTATTTTGACACATCCGTCTCTCTGATTCTTGCAGCAGCAGCAACAGCAGGGTCTACAGCAGCTTTTGGTAAGTATTTTATTACATCATGTTTCATATATAATAAAATCATATAGCGTGATATTTCATGACAATGATACGTCGTGTTTGATTCCAGAAAAGATTATTTAGAAAATTGTACGTTTTTTAATTTTTTATTTCGCGCGATCAGCTGTTCTACCGATAATAATATACGATTTTCTAGACGATATCTTGTAACATCGTATTAATGGAAATGAACATATATCGAGAATCCGATTGAAAAAAAAAATATATATGCGAAAAATAAAAAAATAAGGGAAGGAGGTTGCTCATCAGCGGACCCTTTTGTCTCGATGTCGCAGCAACAGATCCATGCACAGCAACTGCCCCACGGTGCGGTGGTCGGCGGTCTTCCGCCGGGCGGTCTGCTGGGCTTCGCAGGTGCGGCCGCGGCGGCCGCAGCCGCGGGTGTGCCGCCGCACTTGGCGCCGCCGCCGCATCCCGCGGCCGCAGCTGCGGTCCAGGCACAGGCGCAGGCGCTGCTGAAGCCCGCCGATCTCCAGCAGCATCGCGCGGCCGCGGAGACGCCCGAGGACCGTAAGCCGATCGCTCTGCCGGACGAGAGACTCGGTCATCGCTCGGTCTCGCCACCCGAGAAATTTCGCAGCCGCACACCCGACCTCGAGAGCGACCCCAAGAGGCGGAAGGAGGAGAAGCTAGGACACGTGAGTATAGCATTACCCTTATATAACCGGTACCTGAGACTGTCCGACGTTTCGGATCGATCGGCAATTCGATCGGGCTCCGAGATGTATATATATATTTATGATACATACAGGATTCACTTTAGACGTGTAATTGAATTCGGGGTATTTTATTTATAATTTTTCGTGTCAAGTATCTGAAAAGAAATAAAATCCACGTAGCGGTATTCAAATTAGAAATTTCTTTGGGCATCTTTAAGTGTCATTATGAATTGTAGATGTAGTCTAAAGTGAGCTTCTGGATCTATCGAAGATTTTAAAAATAAAATTATGTTACAAAGACTCTAAAATTGAGAATCTGATTTCGATTTGAAGACGAGATACAAAGTTAATGTTCTATAACTTGTCGAAGAGGGAGAGGAGATATCTTCGTACATAATAGTTTCACAAAGTTTTACATACTTTTTCCTCAACGTGTCAGAGGGTCAGATAAAGAGTATCGGAGTACAGGTGCGTACCGTTGCACACATTGAATATTGCCGGTTGATCAGTGCACACTTAACTCCGGGGAGACTCATCGTAGGGAGAGTAGCGCGTCACGACGGACGGCGCGTTAGCCGAGAATTAAAATGCTAATTGCAGCGACGTCGAAAGCCGATAAAACGGCCGACACTCTCGGCGACCGAAGCAGGAGGGGGAGGATTGAGTAAAGGGGCGCGCACGAGTGAGCGCGCGCGTTATATCGCCGGAAAGTAAACGCAAGAGTAATAAAAGGGCCGAGTTTAGAGTTGGAGCCGCGCGCGCAAAAAGGGATAGGAGCATCGATGGTAACTTCCACTTAACCGTCGAATCCATCGTGAAAAAAAGAGGAGGAAAAAAGGAAAATGTGGGATGGAAAGTATATCCTCTCGATAGTCTCTCGCGTGCCTATCTATCTCGGCTTCCCGATCGGCGAGAGCGAGCGGTCCCAAATGCAATCACGCGTTGCCGAAGTTTCCGTCGAAATTGGATTACCCTCGTTCGCCGCAAAGGCGGAAAAAAGGACCCGACCTGACCTCTGCGATCTCTCTCTCTCTCTCTTTCTCTCCTATCTCAGGTTAAGGAATCGTAACTTGCTGCGCAAAGTCGGACACGATCTATTTTGCTTAATGTCTGAATCTGCGAAAATAAAATTCCGCGTTTCTTTGACCGAAATCGCGACGACCAAGCGCGACCTTTTCACGAGAGGCGCAAACACGGACGAATGGAAGGACGCGGAAAGAAAGAGGGAGGAAAGGGAAGAGAAAGGGCGTATAATTAAAAAGCGTGAAAACAGGCGAACAGTTAGTAGCCGGGTCGCTGTTGCGCGCACCGACTAAATTGGATTATTTTTCTCAGCTGCTCCCTTACCTGTGCAAGCGTTCCGCTTTTACCCTCTCTTTATCTCGCTCCCTTTATTTTGCTCTCCGTCGGTTTTGCTTCCTTCGGCGCAACTCTCGCGACGATTAGGCGCGAATCCATCGGCCGATTATTTATCAGCTCTTCTCTTTTTCGCGCGGTTAGATTTGTAGATTCGAGTTAATCGCCTATTTAGTATGCGTTGTAAAATCGTTGAGAAATGTGACGGCCGTCTATTATACAGGATGAGTCGTGCAATTCGAACGAATTATATCTCTTTCACGTGGTTTGATGATAGGAAAAAGCGGCGAGGAGAAAAAGTTGAACGGTTTAATGATGCCTAACTTTTTATAACGCTATATACTTCCTTTTTTGTTGCAAATTTGACTTGCATGACTCGTCCTGTACACGCGGAGAGAGATGAAGGAGAGAAGAAATTAAATCATCTATAAAATATACAGAGATAATAAATCACCTTATACGGGGCGCAATATTTTACGCGATATCGAATTAATGGATAATCATCCGCCGAGATAATTTGCGGAGCGAGATTTTCGGCGAATCGAAGATTATATTTCCCGGCGGTCGTTCGCCGCTGACCTCACAGATCCACGCCGTTAAACCGTAGTTGTCGCGACCAATTGTCGCTATCAAGCTGCTGGTGGAAAGCAAGGAACCGCGGATGCCTCCGGCATCTTTTCCCTCTTTCTTCGCGTTCCAACCTTGATCTTTTGTATTATCGTTCCTTCTTTTTGTCGACGCACTAACGACGCGTCGTTTGCACGGGCAATCTCTTCGGTCCCAAGAGTGCCGGCAAGTTTGTTTGAAGTTGAGACGGGCCCGGTCGGGATAAATGAAAAATTTTATTTCGCGATATCCTTTAGCGTGTTTCAATTACAGCTGTCGGAACGAATATAAAGAATTCTACTTAAATTGCGCTTATATTAATCGTAATACGAAATAAATATTATTTGTCGGTATTATATATCGCAAACTGAAATAAAATATTTTTATTGTCGAGAGGTGGGACTAAAATGAAATATTGTCATAAAACGAGGGTCGTTTACCCTTTCGCGATTTATTATCCATCTCTTTGTGATTCCTAATTTATTATTTCTTCAAACGTGTGTTTATTAAGAAATTTGCTATTATGGTCGACGAAAACGCAGGATGTCGTATAACTTACGAAAGCAACGAAGAGAGACAGAGGGAGGGAAGAGGAGAGATATCCGGAAATGAGTTCTCTCGCTCGTGTCCACGTTCGGGTTCTTAGGACTACGAGGTCCGTATATACAGGGTGTCCGGTAACTAACGGACCAACGATTACAAATGGATTCTTTGGTCAATTTGGGAACGATTTTTCCTCAGTGAAAACGTCGAAAAAGGTCATCAACTAAGCCTCAAATTAAAATTTTATTATAGCAAACTCTACTTGAAATTAACTAAAGAATGTAATTATGTTAGACTTTTAACTCCAAAACGTTTAGTTTTCAAAAAACCCATTTTTTTTTTTCAATCGCTTATAACTCGAAAATGATTGACTTCTCAACATTTTTGCCAAGGAAAAATCGTCTTCAAATTGGCCAGAGAATTCGCCCTTAATCATTGGTCCGTTAGTTACCGGACACCCTGTATACGCGCACGTCGAGAGAGGATTAGTCGTAGCACACCAACATCAACATCTCCCTAACCCTCTCGCTTGAACCCCGAGAAAGCATTAATCAAAGGAGCAACCGTACGCCCTGTTTCCGTCGCGATGAAAGCTGCTGCCGGTTCCCCACATGAAATCGCTATATCACGAGGAAAAGGGGTTTCCATTTCTCGTCTTACACCATGATCGAATGCGTCCTTGGAGAAGGCAAAGACCTGTAAAATTCCCAAGTTTTTCAACCGATGATGAAATTTTAATTCAATATCGATCGATTTTATAAAAGAAATAATTATCCGATATACGTATTTTGATCGATATAAAAATGTGTTGTGGGAATTAATCAACTTGATATATTTTCGTGGCAAAACACATCTCAACTCGACGGTAGGTGATCTTTTTTTCGCTCCCATCTTTTTATTTACTGTATCCACTCGTGTATATAAAAAAATGGAGAGATGTCCGATTGCGTCTGATGGTGACCTCATTTTCTCTTAATCGTCATCCCGGCGTTGTCACCGGCGGCGCTAGTACGTTGCGAAGGGTGGAGAGGCAAAAAAGATTCCCGATAAAATCCTGGGATCTACCTCGCGCACCCGCGGCAGTCTCTCGGTAATGCGACGGAGGATAGTGCTCGTTGTGAAATAACGTTTCAAAAGCGTGTGTCGGATGGCAAAGTGCATTTTTTATAGCGGCCGGAATGAAATTGAAGACGGAAAGTCTCAAACGTGTTAAATGGCGAAATTACAAAAATTTTTTACCACGATGTAAGATAGACATATCACTGTACGATTAGGTGACGTTAGTCGAGCGAGAACCATCTAATTTTTTTCTTTTCGGAAGTTATATTGCTACTTATAAAAAATCGGGTTTGTTTACAACTCTCTCTCTCTCTCTCTGTCTTGCGATATTTTATTCGAGCAAAAGATTGATTTATTCGAAAAAAAAAAAAATCGCGGATTGAATCTAAATTCACAGAGAGCGTTTAGACGTGCTAATGAATGGTAGTAGCTGGATTCAAGATAGAATCGATTCTGGATGTTTACGAAGACGGCGGTTGAGGTCGGTCGGTTTAACTTTGTCTCCTCGTCCTGATCCGTGCAGACATTCGGGATGCGCGTAGATGTGCGGTAGATTCATCTGGTGGGAATCCGGGCGGCGAGAGAAAGGGTGGACGCGATATATACGAATAGCGCGCGAGAAACGGAGAAAGATAGCGCGCGCGGGGATAGGCGGAGATGGACCGGAGAAGGAGAAAGAGAAAGAGTTGGGATGGGTGGGTGGTTGAATTTTTCATCTGACCACGTCGAACCAATTAAAGCGGACCACGGTACCCAACCTCCACCTCCAACCTCTTCCACTTTTTTCGTTCTCTCTTTATTTCCGCCCCGCGTGCTGGCCTTTATCCACCCTCTCTCTCTCTCTCTCTCTCATTCGCCCCCGTTCATCCCCTTCGTCCCGCGTCCTTCTCTTTCCACCCCGTCTTCCTCCGCTCGCTCACTCTCCGGCAACTCGTTGGATTTTTTCGCGTCACGAGGCGGTGTAATTTATTTGGCCGAGGTAGAGAGGCACCCGCGGAGGTGGTCGACAAAGCGAGCAGGGGGTTGGGTCGGCGGTACGAGGACTACGAGGGGGATATCGCGAGAGAATAGGTGGAGGTGAGGCAGCACGGAGGTGACGCGGCTAGAATGAGGGAGGATATAGCGCGAACCTAGGGAAGGGGATGGGAGGAGGGGTGGTTTCAGTTTATTTTGTGGGTCCTACCTACCTACCTACCCACTCGCTCGTCACTGTCCAACCCCGTTGGTCAGTCGGTACGTTGTTCCCGTACTCTCTCTGTCTCTCTCTTCTTCTTCCCCAACGCCGCTTTCGTTTCCTCTTTCGTTTTTGTATTCGCACCCCTTTTCCCCGCGTTTCCCGCCACGCTCTTATACGTATCCCTTTTTTCCCTCCCTCCCTCCCTCTGTCTCTCTCTCTTCGTTGGTCTCTTTCTAGC